AGCAGCAGGGAGGGATTCAGGCTACTTTTTTTTTTTTCTGTTTTAAGACTTTACGTTAAGCAGGCTGAATGCTGAATATAAATTTATTGTTCGAACAAGATTGGTCATGGATGTGCAGTAGATAAAGAGCTTGAATTCTAATAATGCAGAACCTGTATTAATACATAGTTAAATGTGGCTTGGAGACTTAAGTGTTTTGAATGGTCAGCAAGACTAGAAAAGCTCTTTATAAATGTTAGTCATGTCCATAGAGAGACGAGAGTTTGATTTATCGTCGCAATAAAATCTACACAAATATTCCTTCAAGATTAAGGAGTTTTTTGTGACTCCAAATCTGTTTAGTAAAATGCGTTTTTAAAACAACCGACAGGAAGGATCTATAGGGGCCCATAGCTCATTTTTAGTCCCAGTATCCCCTAATAAGATTAATTTGGCTCTGGTTTGTGCTGACAGCGTGTAAATCAGTATGTAGCGTGTGTTTCTTTTTTCTTTTGATGGCAATAAAGAGTTATTTTCATGAGCATTGGCCACAAGAGAATTACAGTAAAAGAGAGCAAACAAGTACTTCAGACAAGTATCGTCAGAATAATAAACATTCAATTTGCTAACAGTGTTGTAATGTCTTTCTCCATTAGACTCAGGCCACGCATGCCACTCTGTAGCCTTTTATTCACTCACAAATATACAGACACACAGGCAAAGCCACGTGGGGGTGCACACCTATGCGCTCAGATATGAAAGAAAGTCTAAAACAAGCACGTCGCACTTGTGAGAAGGGTCAGAGCCAAGCAGATGATGATGTTTACACTGACAGAGGAGTGAATGTTCTGAGCAAATGGCAATCAGTGTAGGAAAAAACCAAGAGAGTAGCTTGATTTACACGTTGAACACTTTTACAAGTTAATGTGGGAAGCAAGCTAAGATAAGATCAATGGTCCACTTCTGTCTCCCTAAAGAAAGCAGTGAAGAAGGCAGATGAGGCTCTCAATTACCCCCCTTCCCCCACTACCTTTAAAACAATCAAATATCTCCCTTAAGAAAAAACAACACCCGTAAACTCTATTCCTCCTCCTTGTACTCTTTTCCTCTTCCCTCCCTGCCCCCCTTCCCACCACAGCCCCTCTCCCTGCTCCAGGATTTTTGCTGTACAAACCAGGAACAGATGTCTGCTGAGGCCGTGCTGAAAGACCCCGCTGTTCTGGATGCCAGCCACATGCTTTTCATTCAGAGATGAAGGCTCACAGCTCGCCTTCTTGTGAAGCCAATTTTTTTTAAAAGAAAAAGAAAAAGAAAGAAAAAAAAAAGACGGGGTGGAAAAAACACAAACTAACTGCCTTCAAGTCTCTTCAAAAGCACAAATACAAGCACACCTTTTTTGTCTCCTCTCCACCATGTATTGTTCCCTGCTTGTGCCTCATTCTAGGATGTTTTCCTCTTCATTCGTGGACTTAGATGACGGAAAAGCAAAAGATAAAAAAGTCATGAGATGCTGCTGACAAAAATATTTCTTGAAAGAAGTCGAGGACTTCAGGAGCTGCACACACAAATGTATCCAGTATACTCACAGCCGAAGCAAAAGTGATCGCCCTTTTAAAAACTTGCCCCCGTGTGCTGAAAAATAAAGTGTTATTTAGTGTCATAGTCTTAAGATTACACAGATATCCCGGCCTCGGATCCAAATCAAATACTGCTAACTCAAAATTAACGTGGCGACTAGAAGATATACCCAAATGCCCAGCGGCAAAACTGCCCAAAGAAAACATCCATTTTGAGCAGGATCACCAAATGAGTATGTTATATAAGGGGAAAGTCTTATTCACGAATTCCGAATTGAATGTTAAAAAAACATTAGCTTACAATTAGTTTAGTGAGCTGCTTGGGAACTACGCTCTTAAACCTAATTTATTGTTGAGGGGTGAGCTCTATGTAACTCTTTGTAAGTCAAAATAAATTTGTGTCTTGCAGCTTTTGGCACATCGTTACATCCAGCTAATTCCTGACTCTTTTTCTTTTTTTTAACTTCAAGTGTGATATTATTAACCTTTCAAAGTGGCATAATAAAGCTCTTTGTTGTGGAGTTTAAGATGTTGACACACTCCTTCTTTGGAGGCCGCAGATATGGGAAGTTTTGAGACAAAAGGTGGTGCTGAAAAGCTGAATTAGCCTGTCAATATTTGGGCATTCAAACATGAGTGTTTGAAGCTCCAACGTGAAGCACAGTGTGTGTGTGAGAGAGAAACTGTGGATGTGTTGGTGTTCCTGGAAGCTTCACAGAGCTTGGAGGTAGCTTACATATTTAACAAGCGCAGATTAGGGTAATTTATTATGTAGTGGGGTGGGTAACTTTTCCACTAGGTTGATCTCACATGTAATGATTAAACATCACACGAGGTGCTTCAAAAGAGAAAACTCATCGTGAACACCTGCACAGAAGTGTCAGTATCTTGACTGTAGGATGAGCAAAGTCATTGCGCTGAATCGCTCTCTCTTTGTCCCCTAATGCCGCACTTCAAGGAGACTATAGGATTACACTGAAGAAACGGTACAGCTGCAATCATGAATCATGGTTTGCAGTGATATCAATATTTAAACAGGTCTTTAAATTTAAATTGATTTGATTTGATTTGATTTGATTGATTTAAATCCTTTGATCCTTTATCTCTTCCTGGAGCACAGCGATGCATTCGCACTTTGCCGGAGTTAAAAAAAAAAATAAAAAAAATAAAATCATGCTTTATTGAAGAAATTCAGACTTACACAGACTGACGATGGGAACATGCATGTTATGGGGTTTTTGGTTTGTTTGTTTTTTTCTTTCTGGTAGCACACTATCCCCCAGCCCATCCCCCAGGACGGGGAAAAGGGGAGGTGGGATAGAGGAGTGAGGGTTCGGAGCCTTCGCTGATATCAGAGCCCTTTTATAACTCCCAGTTCTGTGCTTTGAAGTCGCAGCCAGACAACTCAGGAATTCTACTCCCCCGTTTGACAATGAGGAGGGGGATGGTCAGAGCTCTGCCGTGTGTTTAGCCAATCTTCTCCTATATGAAATCATAAGGAATTTTGAACTGTCTCTGCAGCTCATCAGCCAGTACCGTGTGACGAAACCTCTATCTGGCATGAGGGTCATGTGCAAAAACACTGAGCTGAGGGGAAAAAAACGGGTCTGCAATGAATCTAAAAAAAAACTCCCAACAACTTCTAAACACATTAAATCATTATTGCTGTTTTTCTGTTTGCTCGGACCTGTTTAATCCAAACTCCAGACATCTAAGAAGCCATAATCCAATAATTACAACTGGAAATGTGACAGAGTAATCCGATCCCAGCGAAGAATTAATTAGCAGAATGTGGGATCAAACAGGGAAATGGTGTGAGCGTCTGATAGCAGAGATAAATTTTATCGTTGAGGAAGCTCTGTCTTGTAGGTGGGGAAATTATAAAGCATTAAAAGGGTCTCCAGGGACATTTCATATCTTTACAGGAAAGTTGGTTTAGGCCCATTTTTTAGCAGCATGAATGGAGCTTCCACTTAATATGAGCAGGCAGTTGCATGCTCTATCTGGAATACAATACTGAGGTGAAACTCAATATATGATCTAGTATAATTTTCATACCTGACTGTGGTTTATTTAGTAGTTTATATTCTGTATTCTGCAGTTCACTTTTTTTTTTAGATTTATAAGCATACATGTTTATTTAGTTTTACAATTACATCTACAACATACAGAAAAATATAAACTATCCAGTACTAATAAGTAACAAAAAATTCTACTATGCAAATTGATTCTTTTAGTCACTTTCTGACATAAAATAACCACTACCAGATTACATTTTACCACAAAGACCCATCGAGACCATTATATGCAATGACTGTGCTTGAATCTATCCACCTTCTCAGTCCACATGGAGGTAGTTTCAAAGAAAGCATGAAAAGCAAAGGGTTTGCTAGTTACATGCTAATAGCCATCCAGTTTTGTGGTGTGATTGAGCCACTAATACAACCAGCTAATAGCACAAATAAATCAGGGGTATGACTTTGATAGAAGTGAGGGAGGGAGCCACCTACTAATAAGTGCCAAGCTTATGCCTTTGGTGGTTTTCCTTCAGGGGAGTGGGAACTCAGCCTCCTCTGAAGCCGAGTAAAGTTCTCTTTAATTTGCCTTGAGTGGGTGGTTTATAGCCCTGATATAATCCATAACTCTTCCACTATTACAGCCACCTACCTCACAGATTGTCTGTGCCGCTGTGTGAACTTCTTGCAGTTTCTGTCTGAGAGCCTGAGACTCATAGTACCCCTCAAAAAGGTACGCTAATTGAAGTGATGTAATGTTATGCCACAGAGGGCTGCCCACTGGGAGCCGCGCTAGAATAGGAGGCACTGAAGAAAAAGACACAACCCGAGTCACAATGCCAGCAGCCACAAGAGCAAACTTTATATCCCTCAGTCTGAGAAATGACTGACTACCTTTCCAACCAGCCTGTGTGTGTGTGTGTGTGTGTGTGTGTGTGTGTGTGTGTGTGTGTGTGTGTGTGTGTGTGTGTGTGTGTGTTTGGGTCTGAGTTGCTTTGCCAAGCCGCTTCACTCATGGCTGTCATAACCCATCCAGCAATGTTGGCAAGGGAATAACCGCTGCAGTGTTGTGCCAGAGCCAGACATGACAGAAAGAACAACAACCTACAACTCTGCGAAGACATCAGCATGTCTTCACACATGCCTGTGAATACAGTTTGCCTCCACTTAAGTCAAGAAGTTCTTAGATCAGCTTTCAGGGGAAAAAGAAATGTAACAGCTCTGAAGTGCCTCACAGACTCATCCCATCAGCAAATTCAAGCACACACAAAAACACCTGGCATGCTTTCGCCCCTCCACAATAATGCATTTTGTGTAAACTGTCAAACATATATAATGTGCACGCAATCCACATCCTAAAATTTGAATCAATAGAAGATCAGCTTAGTTTTGAAGAAAGTAAGAAAATAATTAATAAGTGTAGTATTACCTGCATGTTCTTCAGCTTTTGATCCGCCGCGCTGTACCTCTCACATTCCTCCATCCCTCTCCGGAGGAAGGCGTTCACCACAAAACTGTCTCCTGAGACGCGGAGAATACACAGCGATTAGCAGGTACAAATCTCAGGCTAGTCCTGCGGTTTATTAGACCGTTACCATTTACAAACCATTACGCAAAAATGATGTGCGTTTATCCTCACCTTCAGGGTTCTCTCTGCGCTTGCACGCTACGGATCACGACGCACGAGGATGTAAAAGAGACACTAGTTAGTTTTTTTTAGGCTACAATATTCAAATTGTGTCATTTCGCTTTATTTTTTATTTATTTATTTATATATGTATTTTGCTGTCTTACCGTGTTTTGACTGAAGTTTGCCCATTCTTTAAATCCCTCTTCCCTGGATCAGTAAATGTACTCCGAAATCCGCCACTTCTTACTCTACATGATCACATTGTTTTTAGTTTAGAAAGAAGAAAAGTCCAACTTCATCCAAAGGTGCGCACATATATCGCGCTATCATTGAAGCGTCGCTTGTCAGCGATGAGATGATCTGATAAAAATCGCTAAAATGATCTGTAAGCGGCTCAGGGTGCGCTCGCAGTCTGGCTTCCAGCTTTACTCCCGTTCAACTGATGTGAAACTGCTTGAACGCAACAGAAACGGCAGAGCGGGGCGTCAAGCTTGCAGAAGAAGAGAGGGACACTTCTGGTGCAGGCTTTTACAAAATAAAACACACCATTGGTGCAAGTTGAACTCGGTTTGAAATAGATTTGATCTACCATGTATACACGTATGCGTGATAAGGTTTTTAAAATGGAAATGTTGCCTACTCTGATATTAGATAGGCTGGTGGTATTTCTTTTAATTGATTGGTGTTAGTTTATTGTTTTTTGTTGCTATAACTGGTTATCATTTATAATGATTATTATTTACAAGAGTTGAGTATTCTTATTTCTTATAGGCATAATAAAATGAAATTATCTCCAATACCCACCACCATTATCCTGGTCAAGTCACCCGGAACCCGCTCCCTAATTCAGACAAAACAGCTCTACAGATCACACCAAATCTCAGTGTGTGTCCAAACGTTTTGTTTTTGTTTTTTAATTTAAGACAGTATGCTATGATGTTTTTATTGGAAATGCTATTTATTCCACCACTGAATACAAAAAACTTGTGAGTTATTTCAAAATGTCATCTTGATAATGGAAAGTTTAAAGTTGCTTTCGAAGAAACACGTTCCATACACTTTGTATTTTGTATAATTTCTCCTTTCGATAGTTTTTCATTTTTCCTATGTTCTCTTAGTACAGCTGTAACACACCTTTACCTCTACTTTGAAAAGTCAATTCCTTTTCCGGTTGCAGGTTATGTCTCTCTTGACTGTTAAACAATTATTGGCAGTTCATGAGCAGTTGAAAGCTGAACCATGTCCTCTGTTGGTGTCATCTTCCTTTTGACTCCATTCATGTTTTATCCCTAATTCATTTCTTGTAGGTTCATATTTATGGCAAATACTTTTCATTATTCTGTCATTTGTAGTTCTGTTTACACCAGAGGTCAGTTAATAACTGAATAAAAAAAGTGAATTATCACCAAATAGCCTTGTGGTTATAAAACCTTGAAGAAAATTGTTGTAGCACAATTATTGCTGGACTATTTTACTACTTGCAGATGCTCTGGATTAGTGTCGTGAATGATTGAGGATCAATGTTAGGTGGCATATATAGTTTGTTTGGTTTGTGGGAATACGGATAGGCTTCCTATTGTCGTTTCCAGTATTTGTTTTTCATATATGCACAGTAGATGCCAAAGATAACTATTGTTTATTGAAGACAGCCAGGAAGAACATGTTGTACTTCAGCCCAGCAGACTTCAAAAGCTCCTCAGCACTTTTATAGTTTGTTTCCTTTGGCACAGTGTTAAAAGAGCCCAATCGCAGGACACATTCCACGCGCTATATAAATATTAATTTACTACAGCAATGTCTCGCTCAGTGTGAAGCTAATGTTTCTGTTTTGTAAATGTTCCTCGGTCGTGCAAATCCTTTAAGAAATCAAGAAAGGTGTTACTTTGATCTTTTGCGTGGAAACCTAGACACAAACTGTTGTGATACACTCTGCTGTCTGCTCCACGTGCTGCTGTCACATCACAGTCTTGCACTTAAACCTTGTTGTTGGAGAGCTGCGTGGATGAGCATGTATTCTCAGAGCCACTGAAACATGTTATTCTTTCTGAGGGTGGTACTGTATGATAGCGTCCCACTTTTACTGCCATACCTTTAATGTGCAGCAGTATAGCTCTTTCTATCAGTGTGACTGCTATATGACTCCTCAAAGACGCAGAAATCTTAGATCACTGTCTGCGGTTGACAGGACGAGTCGACATTTGCATAGCTCATTGATGGCAGCTTCCTTTGATCCTACTTGCTGCGCCTAATTATCACAATTTCTTCATGCAGCCCGGCTCCGAGGATTCAGTCTCTTTACAAGGTATCTCTCCTTCATCCTCGTTCTCCTACGCCTTCTAACATCCTGCTTAAATGGATGACAAACATATGGGGTACAGAAATCTCAACAGACTCGAGAAACAACAATTGTTCATAATTTCTGACAGGACAGTCTTGACTGGGAACAGATACAGAGAGAGAGAGACAGAAAGAGCGCGCTGCGGTTTTCTTCTGAGGGAAATGTTCATTTGGATAAAAGCACTAGTTTATGATCAAAGGCTGCCATGTAGAAGAATTGAAAAGCCAACACTGCTTCGGCTTTATGGGCTCTCAGTATGCAATTGTGCAATGGATGTGGATTACCACGCTGGCAAAGGCAAAAAGTATTTCTAAACTAACAACTGAGTATCACACTTTTAGACCAGCAATGTAAATCATAACCTCTTAAAAACTCAGAGGAGATGAGTGATAATTTCCATAGTTCGTGTGCAGCTTGGCTCACTTTCCTCTTACCGCGCATATAAGTAAGAGTGTAAGTTAACCCCCACCCCTCTATTTGAATCACCATTGGCACATAAAGGTATATTCCATTGCTTTCAGCAATGTACCTGAACAACGGTTGAGAGGATAAACATCAGACTGTTTGTTTTGTTTGGAGTTTTCTGACATTTTAAGTCTGCTTGAAACAGTGATAAAATCCCCATAACAATAAGGCTTTTGACTTTTCTTCCTTCTCCGGCTTGATTGCCTTTTAACAGCTGCCTGCTTTTGGAGAGACTACAGTGAAAAGAAAAAGGCCTGCAGACAGAGCAATTATGGTTTTATTTACCATGCCCGTTCTTACAGCTCTCCCTTTCTCTACTACCCCCTTTTTCTCTCACCTTTGTAATCACTGATCAGATTAGAGACAAGTTGAGCTCCCTCATGTGATTCATCTTACTCAAAAATTCACTGACAAATAGATATAATGGGAGCCAAACAATTAGGTATAAAAGATAACATGGCACTAAAGGGGCAATTCACACAAATGCAGTCTTTATGCATGAGGGGAAATCCATTCTGGGTTGGTCTTAATTATAGCATAAATCTTCGTTTTTTTCCATCTTAATTATAGACCTTTGACAGCATAATCAAATCCACCAATAAAATACTTACAAGCTTAATAAAACACGCAGTAAAGGTCACTGTAAAGGTGACAGTGTTATGATTGAGCAGGTCTGGAGCGTGCAAATGAAGACAAATCCAACATTTGCTTTCCTTTTACATTCAGGAACAGCCTACAGGATTCACCTTTGAAGTGGAATGAAAAAGCTGTTGCCAGCAACAAACAAAGGGCACATTGTTTGAAGCCGGCAGCTGACATGCAAAGCAGCAGAGCATTCACAGAATGCAAAACATGTTCATACGAACAACGAAACCACCGATCTGTTCGTATAAACTGTGTACAGGAGTGACGCATTTCAAACTCAGTCATCTTTCAACCTTTTGGTTTTTAGTCCACAGTGGAAGACCGCAACATGTAAGAGCTCACAGTCCCAAATCATAACCATGAATCACTTTAAATTCCCGTGCATGGGCCTGTATCATAAAGGAGGAATATTAGGTAGAACTGCTCTTTTGTTGCTTTGTTGTAAGGTAACATTTGATATTTGCAGGACTTTGTTGGTAACCCTCCCAAAAAAAACCCCATTGTTCATCTAGTTGATACAAGCTTACCACAAGATTATATGCAATTAGCTTTTATTGCCACCTTATCGTGATCCATCTTGTCTTATTGCCCTTTCTGAGACAACCATGCAAATCAGAATCTGTAATAAACTGAATTCTGTTTATGTCTAGAACTGCATTACAGCCTCATTGCGCCCCCAAGTGGTGGACGTAGTGTATTAAAATCTCCAAAATGCATCAGACACTGCAATCAGGAAACAATGCTGTTTATTACAAGGTTATATACAAAATTAAACCAATAAACAACAAACCCAGATAGTTTAAATTGGATTTATCACATTCATTTATAAAAAAAACAAACAAACAAACATGCGAACAGAGCACAAAGCAGATTGTATGTGAAGGGTAAAGTCCACTCACGTTTTTGTTTTGTTTTTTTGCATCAAGTGATTCATGCACAGGCATAAACCCCCTCTGTAGGGGACGCAGCCAGCTGAGCTTACAAACTTGTCAGGTGAAATAAGCGACCTTGAATGGGACCAATTAACAAGAACACATAATAACACACACAGGTTAACCGTTCATAACAAACAGCAACATGTTTACTATATTTTGGATTTGTTGTCCGGTGAGTCTGTTGGCCCATTGTGGGACTCACAAGCTGTCATGTCAGCATAGCTACACACTGACTGATCTAATGTCTGTGCACAAATAGTATAGGTTTAAAAAAAGAAAAACAAAAAGAAACAGTTATGGTTAAAGCAACAAATATTAAATACTTTGGAAGTGAGAAAAGAGTAAACATATTTGTTAATAGCATATAAAACAAAGAAAAATTCAAGCATTGGGGGCTACAACTTAAAATTACAATTCCTCTGTCGACATAGATATGGTCTTGGTAATTTAAGAGAGTAGCACCAGAAAAATTACCTGAATAAACACTTTTGTGTTACAGCACTTGTTAAAATAGCATTTGTGTGTATGTATGTTGAATGTAGTGCTGACAAATGAACTGATTAAGCTCTATAAAAAAGATGTTTTATAGGTTTTAAACCACAAACAAGGCACAATCAGTCAGCCTGTGGGAATTTCAGCAGGTTCAGATACCATTGACCAAGTTAGCTTTTTCCTCCTTCTGTTTTTCCACAGCTTGGCCCATAGCCTCCAGAAACCTCTCAAGCGTTACTGTTGGTGTCTGCAAGACAACAAACCATTTTAAAAAGCCCATGTGAATCGTATGTTTGTCAGGAGAAAACAATCAAATACCTACCTTTACAAAGAGTGCATGGGCTATAAATGGTAACTTCCTGAGTGCTCTTCCGCTCAAACCTTTGCTTTTTCTGAAAAGAAAAAGAAAAAACTGAGCATTGGCCTCCATCTCTTTTCGCTTCCCACACTCTGATTTAGATGCTGCTTATTGGAGTGCGCACTTACATAGCAATGTTCCTCAGGTTTAGACTGTGTTCGGACACCTCACTCTTTGCAAAGCCC